ACACACACACACAGGTTAGAAACTGGAGAGGAGGTCAAAAAGACTAGTACACACACAGATGCTCGAGTATGCAGATGCACCAGTATGAGTGTGTGTGCATGTACAAACACACACTTTCCCTGTGCCAACCCCCTCAACTCGCTCACCCACACATCTGTCGTCCGCAGGGGCGCAGGGTGACGTACAAGCTGAATCTCCTGAGTATCCTCCCTCTTTTCTCTCCCTCTCACCCAGATGCACACAGAATACTGAATGTGGATGTATTACAGGGGCCTCGTGTCTCCAAAGACAAACACGCACGCAAACAGAACAGCTTCTTTTAGTTATTTATAAGACGCAGACAGACAGACAGACACACGGCCGCCATTTTATTCGAATCTACTGAGAAGTGAAATCATCCCGGAGTCATCAGTTTCAGTTATGGCGATCTAAAATGGCCGCCCACGACAGAAACACGAACACACATGTGATGGTTTTCATAAGTAACTTTACACGTGAGCTGTTTTCAGACACGACCTACAGAGAAACATCAGAGTTATTCAGGCGAGAGGTGGAGCAGCCGGGTGCAGCGGACAGGAAGTCACGTATTAACTCCGCTGCGGAGATCACGTGATTTTGTTTACATCAACCGATTATATTTGTTTTTTTTATTCTTGCGTCTGTTGCGTCAACAATTCACTTATCACTGTAAGAAGCTTGAGGTTTTTCTGATTAAAAACAAAGACAGTGAGTTTTTCATGTGCTTATATATTATCATCGTTCATTCGTACATTTATTCTTCTGGTTCTACATAATCACAAATGTTGGTTTGAATACGCACTAAAGGAATAAAAATGTGCCACTCTGAAGAACTGCACTGATGCAGTATCAGCTCTCACCTGTAGTGATGCAGTAATATGTTTCGTGTGGCGAGACGTGGTGGATGCGGTGGTGTTTCCGTGGCAACACCAGATGCCAGTCCTGGAGCATGGTGACCCAGCGTGGGAGTCCGAAGTAGGAGTGACTCCACTTATGAATCTGATTGGTCAGCGTCACGAAAACAGCGAGGGCGAACACGTAACAGTCCCAGGGATAGGACGCCGCCAAGGCCTCTGCAAGGTGACAGGAAACAGGCAGAAGAAAGAGAGAGACTAACGTCAATGGAATAAGTTATGAAAGTGTTTGGTATATTAAAGGGGGCCAGCGCTAAGGCAAAGCACTCCCACAGAGAGGACGCTGGCAGGAGCCATGGTGAGAAGTGGAGGCCGAGGGGGAGGATAAGGAACAGGGGGGGAGACTAGAAGAGGAGATGGAGAAAGATGGGGGAGAGTGGCAGCAGGGGAAGAGAGGAGGAAGTGATATAGATAGAGCTGTAGTCTAACGAACAGAGAATGTAAAAGAAACTGCGATGAGAAATTAAAACCAGACAGGAAACGATGTCGTCTTCTGAAAAGTGAGACAGTCACAAGGAATCTGGAACTTTAAGTCCGTCTGGGGTGAGACACTCGACCTGTATCTCATCCTCGTACTCAAACAGAAGTGCACATCATTACCAAAGAGCTGGTCAGGGACAGATCGTAAGAATGACACGGTGTGAACATCTTCCCACGAGGACGTTAACAAGAAAAGACATTTATTAGCTCAGCATCTTTGCAGCGCTCATTTTAATCTACTCATGTAAATCCAATGTAAAGTCAGCACCATATCTGCTGACTATGAACGTCAACGTGGACACTGGGGACGGCTATTCAAAACGTATATATGTCAGCTCTGGTGCCCCCTACAGGCCGTGGAATGTGGTTAACCTTAAAGACGATGAAAGATCTTCTGTACTGATGTCGGATGAAACGTGTTTCACGGATATTCCCTGAAGTAAACTAGTGCTCGGCCTGAAAATGTGAAAACAGTTGTTGAGGATGAGTCAGAGTTGATTTGAGTGGACAGGTGTCACACAGGTTTGGACTCACACACGAGCAGGTGTGTGTGCGGCGTCTCTGGAAATTATAACATGCACGGAAAAACGTCTTTTTGTTGATATCGCTTCATCCTCACTTAGATGTAACTGAGTGGAAGTCTGCAGCTCGTCTTCATCACCGCTTGTTATCCATTTGAGCGTTCGTGTCGGTATGACTTACAGCTGTCCACTCTCCGTCCACCTCCGTCCCTCGCTCCTTCTCTTTGGTGGAAACAACGATCTCTTGACCCCAGTTCAAGTGCGAACATGACAGTTGGAGATGCCCCCTCCCTGCTCTCAGCTTTCCCCATCTACCTCCCTCTCCGTCTTTGTCTGGTGACCGCTTGACACGGCGAGAAGCTTGACATGACAGGTTTAGATGTCATCGCCACCACCCCCCACTCTCTCTCCCCCCCCCTCTCCCATTCTGTCTCAAACTCTTAGCAGTGACCTCTTGAGGTGCAGACATGACAGGTGTAGATGTCACCGCGTCTCTGCCCGTCTCTGTCTCGTGACCTCCTGACTCCCCGCGGTGCAGGACATGACAGGTGTGGATGTCACCTACAAGTGGACCTTGCTACTGCCGCCTCCCCGTAATCGTTCCCTGATCCCTCCTGTGGACAAGCACCTGACCTTTGCGTGTCTCCCCTTCCACTCCTCATTCCCTTGTTTCCTTACTCTCACAGGTTTGTGATATTCTTTCTATTTGTATCACAACGTTAAGAAAGTTACAGATATTAAATTATAAAACGAGCAATGATTTACCAGCCGATCGTCTTTCTTTAATAGCAAAACAAACATAAGGGTTAATTCGATTTCTTCTGTTGCTTTGACCACAAAAACTAACTAACTAAATAAATAAATGCATGTTATAGGCTAAAAAAGCTCAAATAGAGGCTGCAGATGTATTTAAATGTTTATTCCTATTATTGGCAACTTCTCTAAAGTCAGAATCACTTCAGAGATGCTCACTCAGAGGAGGTTTGCAAACAGCTTAACCTCACATCACTGCGTCTGACCTAGACGTTAACCTGACAAACTTAACGCCTCCTCTCTCCGCCCCATCAGTGGCCTTTGACCCCAGCTGTAGTGCGGACATGGAAGGTGGGGATGTCACCTTCTCAATAACAGGTTGCTCCTGCTGATCTTCCTCCTCCAGACCCTCCCCCCTCCTGCCCCGAGCTCCTAAGGTCAAAACATGATTGCCAGAGAAAGTGCCCCGTGGTTTCCTGTGATCACTTCACTTCCACCTCAAAAACTGGGAACATAAAGATTGTCGGAGCCTTTGTTTGACCTACTAAAGTCCTCACATCCACATTCAGCTTCAAGCAGAGTGACTTTGAGCAAACCTGCAGACACGATGGTTGAGAAGTCGCTTCAATGCAACAGTTCCCACTCCTGCGACGAGGAGGCTGTGCAGAACGGGTGAGATGTTGGGGGGGGGGGTGTAGCTCAAAATTCTGCAGGTGTCACATCCCCGAGTGTCTCACTCACAGGTGATAATAATGTGAACGAGAGAATAACTCCACACAGGAAGCAGGAACCCCAGAGCTTTAGCAACTTCACTTTCAAAGTCACAGCAGCAGGTTTCACTCCTCTTACTTCTCTCTGAAATGTTTGCATGTGTGTGTGTGTGTGTGTGTGTGTGTGTGTGTGTGTGCACTACCTGGTGTGTATGTGAGGAACTTGATGGCCATGTGTGTCAGTGGCAGGATGGGGATCATGCAGTTGTCCCCGTTGGTTTCGATGAAGTCGTGGCGAGTGATGGCGGTGGGATCGATGTGGTGCTCCCTGAACGGTCGAATGAATGCCTGAAGGGAGAAGAGAGAGAGAGAGAGAGAGAGAGAGAGAGAGAGAGAGAGAGAGACAGAGAGGAAAAGGAAAGAGACATCACGGTCGATAAAACATCACAATCACTTCTGTGAGACTAATGAAACCATACATGAGAGGGACGTTGATACAGGGATATTTGCTGTAAATTGAAAGGGGGCGGAACTCATTAACCAATCATGAGGTTTATTTTGTGCAACAGCAGAGAGGATTAAAAAAAACTGAACAAACAAAAGACAATTAAATAGAAAACTGTGCTTCAGCTCGGTCATCAATTATAATTTACATTTAATGCTGTACTCTGTGTGATACTTAATGAGCCATGTAATAGCAATGATCATTTTATTTTCACATGTTTTCACATTTCAAACTTCATATAAAGATTCTATTAAATAAAACACAGATTAAAGATATATGTAGTATGTTACACAGAATATCAGGTTTATAACATCAATATGATAAACAGCAAAGAGTCACTGGTAGTTTTTCCAACTTAATTTAAACTCACTTTAAATCAGAACACAAAACAGACGATGGAAAATCATTGTTTACAAACTGTATACAAATGCAGATCAAATGCACACACACACACACACACACTGAGAGACAGACACACACTAACACAGCACGCACACACACACAAACAGGGACTCAGGGGTGCTCAGCATCCTGTGCAACCCCAAAGCTCATATCCAGCATCCTAATAAACCACAGAACAGCAGTCGACTCACACAAACACACTCACACACATAAATGACCCACAGACGCTTGCTCACACACACACACACACACACACACACACACACACACACACACACACACACACACACACACACACACACACACACACACACACACACACGGTTGCAAACCCCACTTGCGCTGTGCAGAGGCAGACACCTGTCTGTGACAGCGTGGGGGTCTCAAATGAAAGACTGAATCTGAATATCTCCAGAACAAAAGAGGACAAAAAGAAACACACACACAAGGATAAAGGTAATTTATTTCTCTCAGTGGCAAAAGCAAAAAAAAGGAATACGGCTTGCATCTTTGTTGCTACAGTGTGTGCGTGTGTGTGTGTGTGTGTGTGTGTGTGTGTGTGTAGCCATGGACACATCAGCATGAAAACTCATTATTGTCGCGTTAGCTGTTCGAACCAATTACACACGCCTATCTGCAAACATGGCTGGTAGGTGCCACTGCAAACACACAAACTATCTGTTGACAACTTCACAATTATGTGCCCTTCTCCGTTCTAATCTGCCTCTCCCCCACCTCTCCTCTCCCATCGCCCCCTCCTCTCGCCACAGCCCTCAGCCAGATGAAAGGCCGGCTAAGCCGCGGAGGTCGTGCCGAGCAGGGCGGCATCAGCGCTCCCAGCTAACGGCAGGCCACCGGTCGCCGCATGTCCTCTAATCCCACACCGTTTAACGGCCCGCCTCGCACGACATTCACTAATCACCGGCTCACATCGCCCATCGCCGCAGCAACCAGCGCTGTCCCACTGGCTGGACGGACACGCCCTTCCACCCCCTTCTTTTTTATGTCCTCCCGACCTTTTTATTATTTTACTGTATTTTCATCTCACTTTTTTTTGTTGGTTTCTCTCTTTGTTTGCCTCTTTCTGGCCAAATCTTTCCATCCGGGCTTTCTCCTCGCTCTCAATTCCCCCTCTGGCCTTTCAGGAGAAACTGGCCTAAGTCGTTAACTCTCCATCAACGCTCCAATCAGCCTCATTAGAGAGCTGCCTCGAAGGACACATAAGGGCGCAACAGTAAAGAAAAAGAGGGGGAACTGACATGAGGAGAAAAAGTGCTGATGCCTTTAAAAGACGAGTGGAAAACAGAATGGGGAGAAAGGATCTTCAAACATTTACCCCTAAACTATCAACACGCCGGCAAACTTCAATGTGAATCCAGCGTCATTGGGAACTAATGAGCGTGACTTTGTCCTCAAAGTGGTGTCATTAGAGGCCTGTGAAATCCTTGTTGAGTCAATTAAAGTTCAACGACGTGATGACGACAAAAAAGGAAGAAAAAAAAAAAAACCCAGCACAGCCCGAAGCCTCGCAGAGGAATAGTCCTCAACACTACTGGGACGATGCACTTTTTAAGACTGAGCTGCAGTTTTCAGTTCGGAGGAGAGAAAAGGACGTTTATGGATTCAAACAAATCAAATCTTTGCCGTGCAGCTTCTGATGAAGCGCATCAGCTGTTTGTGATATGATAATAATATTCTGAGGTAGAGCAACAAAATAATGTTTATGTTTCATTTACTGAATATTGTGATTTGTTGTGAACAGAGTCTGTTTTGATGAACTGGATATTTTTATGTTTAATGGGGGGGTTTGTCACATCAGAGGAGAACTAATGAGAAATAATGTGGATCAAGTCATCAGCTGGAGAACAATAGTTATAGATCCATTAAGTTATTATTAGAATTAAGAAGATTTATGTTAAATATTACATGAACTGTTTAGCACCGGTGCCTTGTAGCAATGGTTGATTTTTCTATTAAGAAAAGGAGAATCATTCAGTATGTGATGCTACTGTGTAAACACAGTTTGTTGCTTTTAATTAGCTACATACTCTGTTGATCCTCGGTTTGCGGTGATATTGTGCAGCGATGCATCATTTTTATATGTTTCCCTGTTAAACCTAATTAAACCATCACATTCAAGAACATCTGGAGCTTACGAAGTGTTCAGGTGACTGTAGAGCCGAGTCTACGTCCATGGGGACAACGCTCAGCAAGGACAGAGCAGACACAGACAGGGGACACAACGGATTCATTGTGACATGATGAAAAAAAAGGTGTCTGGCTGTGGCTCAGGAGTTAGAGCGGGTTGTTCACTGGTTCAATCCCCAGCCCCTCTATTCCTTGGGCTGTGCGAGACTCTATGAATGTGTGTGAATGGGAAAATTGTAGAGTAAAGCACTACGAGTGTTCATCAAGACAAGAAAAGCGCTCAATAAATAGATAATTTACCCACTAGGCCACACTTTGAGCAGCAGGTCGCTGGTTCTACTCCCTGTTGGCCAGATAATGCCCCATCTCTCTCCCTATTGTATTATCAAATAAACAGAGAAGAAATCCAACTAGAATCAAACTCAGATGCTGTCGATGTTGTTTCGTTACACAGAAATAGAAATGCAGATAAAACTGAAACAAAAAAAAACCTGCCCCTCAGATCCTGCAGACTGTGACACAAAGTAAATGCAGTTTCCAGTAGCAGCTGTTCCTACTTCACTCCTGGAAACATTATGTATTATCCCTCTTATGACTGTGAGGTGTCCCATTATGATGAATTTACTGAGGGCAGGAGTCCATATGTGCATAAAACATGTGCTGCATTAATGCATCTACATTGCACGTTGTCTATAGAACGATGGCGTCTTTAAAGAGGTCTCTACAAATAAAGGCAACTGGGAGCGGAGAGCAAAGTACACAAACGTACACACGAAGCAAAAAAAACTGAACAAACAAGTGACACAAAAAGCACAAATGGCTTAAAATGTTTCATCTGGCTTCATATCAGCAGCCACTATTAGCCTCAGGTGTTCTCCACCGTGCACGTCTTTGATATTCAAACCAAACCTTAACAGGGAGCACAGGCCTGCTTTATTCTCAAAACGCACACAGACACAAAAAACATTGGACGTGCACACCTTGTTTTTTTTGTCTACATGCACACACACACACTTTATTTTCCACTAGCCCATTGTCATCCCTCTGTTCTCTGCAAAGGTCCATTCTTCTCTTCCAGTTAAAGTCTTTATTAGAAGTCTCCTACGGTGTCCGACACACCATGCAAATCTGTGGCTGCCGCTGTGCTTTTGGTCCCGATAACTACCCCAAACCCCAATAAATACCACATCATAAATAAACATCAAACCACACAGAGCCTTCAGCAAACACAGAAAAAGTAACACGGGGCTCCAGGAATCATTGTTTCCAGGCAGCTTATGGTGCAGCAGTGCACGTACAGAAAAGTGTTGTCATCTAAATAACACGATGTTCCGACAGAAACATCCGCACAGACACGAATATGTCACGCGCACAGGATGATGTCACAAGATCGACAGCCTGAGAAAATGAACCATGAGATCGACTGTTAGAATTCATCACAATGAACAGGCTGTCGATAATGTGGTATCCGGAGCCAATTAGCGTCAAAGTGAATCGCACTAATGGGATTTATCTCGACTGTGTGATGACAAAACCTCAAAACCACCGTCCTCCTGTGATCACTGCAGCTTTAACTTGGTTACAGAGAACCAGTGAAGTATCGTGGTTCATCAAGACAGTCTGGGTGAAATAGAAGATTTAAAATTCTTCTTTTTACCTCAGACAGGTTGGTTTTGTTTGTTGGTTTATTTATTTTTTAAGCAGAATTAGTCAAAAACTACAAAACACATTTTCACCTAACTTGAGGTAATGACGGAGCCTGGACAGAAACCCTCACATTTAGTTGCAGATGTGGTGAACTGAATATTTACATGAATTTATAAGGAATAATCATAACTATTCAGAACTGTGTTTTATGAGCAACGCATCGTTTAGATCAGAACACCTTGTTTTTACTTTTACTTTTATATTTCTACTATTAGAACCACACAATCATGTGTGTGTGGATTGTTCGGCCTCAGCGGAGGAAAATACTTTCATTCATGTTCTGTTTGCGTCTTTAAAAAACTGTTTAGAGAACAAGTGATCAGTTAATAATAAGATATGAGCCTTTCACAGAAATATTGGTATCACGTCAATGCATGCTGACATATGAACATAAGAAAATAACAGTTACACAACACACAAAATATTAATGACATCCATTTATATTTGTAGTAACAGGCATTGGGTTGTAATAAAAATAATTATATGATTAAATTACACACGAGTTTAAATAATTCAACACTTCTACTGTATTTAAATTCCAATAAAGAGCATTTGTAAAATAAATAAATTAGAATGAATTAACTTCTAACCTGTATAATATTAGTATTAATCAAACATGGATACTGCAAATGTTCAGCATGAGTGATAACTTTTGTTATAATTGGGGTCAAAACAACAGCTTCAACATTTCAACTAATTATCAATGAATATTTCATAAACAGAAGATGAAACACACACACACACACACCCACGCACACACACACACGCACGCACACACACGCACACACACATGCGCGCACACACACACACTAAATTCTCATCTCATTAATCAAAACAAAGTTCACGTGAACCAATCTGCATGCTGCACCTGATCACACAGACCTTAATTGGCTGAAATGAGGATAACCTTTACTCTAATTGGCTGTGGGGGAATGTGTGTGTTCATGAATGTAGGCGATGTGTTTTAATGCAAACAGTAAGCGCACGTGCATCCATCTCAACACGCCCACACACATTGTGGAGGTTCAAGATGAGGCCACTCACAGTGTGTGTGTGTGTGTGTGTGTGTGTGTGTGTGTGTGTGTGTGTGTGTGTGTGTGTGTGTGTGTGTGGTGGGGGACCGTGGACATTATGGTCTACAGGGAGGTTCCTCTGTGAGACAGTGACTTTTAGTTCCCAGGTCACTCCGGCGAGTCCAGAGGCGTGAGGGAATAATGTACCGCCACGCTGCCATGGTGATACAGCCTCAGGAGAGAGGGGACGCTGAGCCGGAGGGGACACGGGGACAGAACAGTATCATCTCAGCCTGTCCATGTTTCACTGGGTAATTAAAACAATTATTTAAGGTAGACTGACTCCTCGATTCCCCCAGACTTGATCCACACACTCTCATCTCTGTGGATTAACTATGAAATCAGCTGCACAAATGTCCAAAGTTAAGAACGTGGAGTTACGTCTCACTTGTTGTGTTTGCACGGTGGCAATCAAACTAAAGATCATAGGTTTAAAGAAAAGTGTGTCCAAAAAAACACAAGTATGCTGAAAAAGTTTCATCTCAACAGGTAAAAAAAGTCTTTTTCATTTTTTACAGAACACACAAGCGCCCAATTAAACTTTCTGTTATAATCTTGACTGATGGAACTCAAATAGCTGAGCGATGACATCCAATAATAACATCTGAATCCAGCACAATAGTTTTTTTTTTTTTACATAAGCTCCAAAATGTCCGCTGGTGCTGTTATCAATAAGCAAATTACGTTTTTGGCCAAACTGCGGTTTAAGGGAGGAAAGTGAGGATTGACTTTGTAGTGAACTGATGAGAAATGACAACAGGCTGTTCACTGCAGTGTTTTCATTTGCTCACCTTGCCAATAACAGGGATGTCCACAGATCCCCAGGTGTCTGCCCCCCAGTGGACCATCCCCGACGCAAAGTCTGCCGTCACTATTCCGAGGACTGGCACACAAACACAGACACGGAAAAAAAGAGCAATAGCATATGCTGTTATGAGATGTGTAAGCAAAATGAAATTTTACAGAAAGAGTTAGAAAAATCCTCGTGAGTATAGAAACAATGTTTTTTCATTATTCATTTAAAAATATACATTTGCTTAAGCAAAAGTCTAATAGCAAATGTGATCCAAAGTTTTAAAGTCATATCTTTATCTTTAGCATCTTTAGCATGTTTATATGTACTTCTACTGTCACAGTCTGACCGACTCGTCTCACCGATGCCCAGGACGATCCCGTGGATGTGGACGGTGGAGAAGTGGAGGAGGAGGAACGAGAGGTTGATGAGGAAGAGGAAGAGGCACAGAACCACACACACCCACTCCTGCAGCCGCTTACCTGGAGAGGACCAGAACAAGAAATATGAAATTAAGGAGAAGAGAGGGAGAGGATGAAGAAGAAGAAGAGGAGGAGGAGGAGGAGGAGGAGGACATTGGAAACGATAAGAAGTTGAGGGTGTTGGGCTCTGACGTGTTGCATTAATGAACTGGGTGAGGTCCCTGAACCAACTGGGAGAACAAGTCACATATCAGGGGTCAATGGCCCATTTATTGTGTGTGTGTGAGTGTGTGTGTGTGTGTGTGTGTGTGTGTGTGTGTGTGTGTGTGTGTGTGTGTGTGTCCAGGGTGTTAATATGTGATCAGTCAGAAGAAAAGTGTACTCCAGGCTGCAGGGTCACGACCTCTCATATGTGAAACACCAATGCTGATACAGCACCAAGCACCACACACACACTGACACACACTGACACACACACTGACACACACACACAGTTTCAGGTGGCAGGTATCGGCCTCTGCAGGGACGAGCTGGACTCACAGGTCAGCAGTATGAACAGAAGGACAGAGGGAGACGAGCTAACTCTGGCTACTCTCACTATAAATTCACACATCAGCGATATTAAGAGACGGAGCTGCGAGGGTCAACTCGAGCTTTCAGCTGCACAGCACCGAAGATTAAAGACACTGAATTATTGAATCCACACATTTATACACACACGTGCGCGTGATCTACAGATCTATTACTTTCCTGACGTCTTTAGTCTTCATGAGCTTTCACTTCTCTTAAATGTCTCTTTCTAGTCTGATTCATCGGCACCAGCAGGAATCGTGCGTCACTGTTTCTCACCAACCAACAGACACAAACTGTAAAAAAAGAAACAAATCTGAACGACCATCGTTTCGTTTCTGTCACTTTCTTTTGTTCTCCGTCTTTAATTCCCTCACCTCCTTCCTCCCCTTCTGCTAATCCCTCCGTCTTTGCCAGTCTAATGTGCTTTTAAAACATTAATGTGTTCAGATCCTCATGTATCACATAGCATTAGCAGCCTATAAGATATTCATGGGGGCCTTTTTTTAATAAAGCACACAGGCCTGCGAGTGTGTGCGCCTATAGACTCAGTGCGACTATGAATATGCTATCAGCCTCTCCTAAGGTATGGACCCGAGTGGCAACGGGAGATTTTAAATATGGGATTATGGATATTTCACGAATTATCGAGTGTGACCCTTCACCTTCTAAAAATAGAATCAAAGTTGGGATTCAGGAGGAGACTGAAGTTCAGCTCCAAGAAGTTCGGAGGAAAAAAAAAAACGTGGTTGGACGAGACAAAATATGATGTGACACCAACCAGTTTATTTTATTTAAGTAAAGTTTGAAGGAACTTCTGTGAAAGTTTCTTCATAAGGCTGCAGCTGTGTGACGCTGCACAAGATCAAGGCCTCGGTTTTTGTGCTTCATCTCCATTGACTGGTGGTTTCCCTTATTTCCAATATTTTATGATACAGACATGAGCATGGCTTCAAGTTTGTCTTTTAGCTCTAAAGACACAAAAATAAATAAACTCTGAGAATCCTCTGCGCTGTGGAGATGCTACAGGTTGTGCTCTCTTCTGCAGTCAGTGCTGGCCTGAAGGTAACGGTCAGTAGTCGCATTAAGTTCAGTCCTGCTGCATCGTGTTTACAGCACAAACACGACGAGTAACTTCACGTGTTGACATCACACAGCTCAGGTGACGTGTTTCGGTCCACGCGGCCTCCGTCCATATTGAGGTTAAGTGGCTCTGTTGTCTACAAGCTTCATGTGACACCATTTTCTCTTCTATACCCCAAGGTGCATAACACACAGAGACACACACACACAGACAAGACACACAACTTAAAGGATCAGTACACCACAATTCACTTTCTCCCAACTCTCACTGTGTCTGCACCCCCACCCCCCCCACACACACACGTCAAAAAAAACAAGTGACCGCTCTCACACACTCACACACACACCATGATGCCTCCACTGATGGATTTCCTAACACATTCTCGCATCTCTCTCTATTACACACGCACATCCTCTGCCACATACACAAATTCAGACACTCCATCTCTGTCACGTACACACACACACACAGACACACACACACACGTTGCAGGGCCGTGGAGCAGTGGGGCGGCTGTCAGGTGATGTGCGTCAGTCCTTGGATCCTCCGGCTCCCTGGTGAGGGGAAGGAAACTAGGACAGGCCTCCACAGAGCGCAAACACACACACACTCTCACAATCACACACACACAAACACACACAGTCACACTCACATAAGCCGTTGTCCCTCAGGCCATGGCATTGCTGGATATCACATACAGCTACAGACACACAAAATCAGCCTCTACAAGTATGTATGTACGAACGGACATACACTATCATGTTTGAACACACACACACACACACACACACACACACAGAGGACCAGAGCAGCGCACTCATTAATATCGTTCTGACAACAACTGGCTCCCTGGCAACCTCTCTGCCATCGCTCACCCAGCAGCACCCCCCGCCTGTGAGCGTGCACGCGTGTGTGCATGGGGATTTAACCTGGGCGGAGCCGGGGGAGGGGAACGAGGGGTGCTAATAGGCTGAAATTAATCAACGCCGGCTGATTCGCTATCTGGGGAATGAGTGGCGGGCAGCAGGCAGGCAGGCAACACATCCTGAATACTAATGGCCTAATGGAGAGGGGAGACAGAAAGTAGACCCCATTAACTATCTCTGCTGTTTGTCAGGTAACAAGGAAGCGAGGCGAGGAAGTGAAATAGGAAAAACACCAAGTTTAACCAATGTTAACAAATACACACAAAACGTTTCCCTGCATCAACAGCGTGTGATCGCGTGTGGAAACCAAAGCAGAGTTGTTTCATACGACACGAACATCAACTCTGCGAAGCGGTTTACTTCAGAACTATACTCCCCATTCAGAAAATATGTCTAAATCTGCAGTGAGACAGAGTGAGGAGTCAAATCTTCTCCCCTCTAATCCAACTAAAGATGAAGTAACTTCTGTTCCTCCTTTTCCATTTTTGATCTTTCATCCTCTAGAAACTGGAGCAAGAAGAGATTTAACAATTACCTTAAAATCTGGTATTTCAGTGGGTTCTTTATGGAGAATGGTCTGTGTTCATACAGAGCTTTGTCAGTTTTGATGACAACTCACACGTTCGTAAAGTGCATCAATGTGCAGCACTTACTACATAAGACGGGGCAATTCTGTGGTTTAGTATCTTACCCAAGGACACTTCTGTGTAGAGTAGGGGAGTAGGGGAAACTGAGATCGAACCGCCGACCTTCTGGTTAGACGACAACCAAAAAATAAAAAAGGCCATTCAGGGTCAATGGTAGACGTTTGTTTTTACTGCAGGTTGAATCTCATCCAACAGAAGCTCTGACCTGAAGCCAGTCAGGGCGATTTCTGAGAAAGAGCCATTGATTTGCTTTTATTTGATTGGCTCTTGGTCAGAGAGGGTGCAGCGGTCAGAGGGCACGAGTTCATTGAGTTCAACTATCGATTGGTTCATTTGAATTTCTGGCGTTGACCAAGCACCAGCGAGTCGTCATCCCAGTGAGAACGGAGAGTTACACCACCGACTTTTGTTCAACCTCTTGTTGGAGAACAAACGGATCCACAACAGTACCAAAGTATCATATGTGTATAAAGTATACTCACATGTGCCGATGTTCACAACTATAAGCTCTTGATGTCTCTACCACCAAGGATTCATTCCCATGGTTAAGTGGTAAAGAAAGAGAACACATCTTTTTGATTCTGTAACGACCAATCAAGTGAACACACACACACAGCGAGGGACAAAACCAAAGGCGAGAACACAAAAACAGGCAAACGACAAAGGGAGCCGCAGCCGATGGGGCGCACGCTGAAGAACCCACCTACAGAGCCTTTGACAAAAAGAAGCTCACGCACTGACAGCGGCTCAAAGGCCGACTCGGAGCTGCCGACGCGCCTCGACCACGCCTCACACGTCTGTGGCGTAAACTCCATTTACAAACACTTATTCACACTGATGTAAAGACTGCCAGCACGTTAGACAACAAATCACAGAGGGTGGTAATGTATGTACGAGCCGTGTGCAGACAGCGCTGCTACTCTTTGATTCTCTCGCTCTGTCGCTCTGTGTCCCCTGGTTTGCTCTCAGCAGACTGTCTTCAGATGGGACTTGGGGAGGAGAGAGAAAGAGAGAGAG